AGCAAGGCCCACCTACCACCTGGCCAGTGGACTCTCAGGTCTCCACAAAACAGGCTTCATTAGAGAGAGTCACATCAGAGGGGGTGGCTGTGCTCACTGCTCCCTTCTGGTGGGACAGGTCTTTTCAGTGTGGTTCCTGCTTTTATACTCAAGGGAATCATTTGTCCTCACTGTGCCCCCAAGGCCAGGCACAAGGGGGCGCTGCATTAATTCCTGAGGATCAGGAGAACCATGAAGAATTACAGGTTTAGATAGTTCAAGTCCGCTCTGAGGTGGATCAGAAGGAAAGCTTGACCATTTACTTCACAAAACACTAAACACTAAAACCCTATGCAATCCAGGCCCTCTGACACCCTAGGGGTAGCTGTGAGTCAGAACTAGTATGGTCGGGAAACTTGAGGGGTATAGGAGTTCTTCGATGGGACACACTGTTGGGGTGTTTCAACGCTAACACTGCTAGTTTGAGTCTATTCTGAAATGGTCTGAAGAACAGCCTGGCGGCCATACCACAGAGCCACTGAAAACTATGGAGCTCAGTTCTCTTCTGACAGAGGAACTAGAATTTATTTGAGAGCAACTGTTCTTTTATAAAGTCCACTGAGGTCAGAGTCAGTAGTAATGGCAAAGCAAGAGGACAGGAGGTGCCCTCATCCCACACGCCTGAGTAGGGCATTCCTCCCACACCCCGTTCCCACTGAAGCACTCAGATCTCATCAGTGAGCAAGACTCAACCCTGGAACAAAGAATAAGCAAGAGCTGGGAGACAGGGGAGTGGGGGCTGAGAGGCCACAGAGAGAGGGAGGGTCCTTTCCATTCCAGAGCTGGCCTCTTTTCCCTGCAGGCCCCGTGTCACTACAAACGACATTCAGGAGCCAGGGTGACAACATCTGCCCAGGCCCGGCTGAAATTCCCAGGCTTGCTCAGGAAAAACTTTCAATCGCGCCTCCTGCAGAAAATTCAGACTCACTGCAGTTAAGTCTATCCCTACTTGCGGTGACCCTGCAGGACTGAGTAGAAAGGCATCATCATGCTTCCAGATCTGTGCATCTTAACGGGAGCAGACTGCCTGCAGAGTGGCTGGGGGGATCGACCTGCCAAGCTGGAAGAAAACTCACCTACACACCCAACAGCCTCCAACTTCACGAGGCCCAAGGGCAGGACACCCCAGCCTCTAGAGAATCACTTGCCTGTCCTAAAAGCACCCAGAAAGAAGCTGGAGACTCAGCCCTTGGAAGCAATGGCTCAGCTTTTCAGACGTCCCCTCTCTGCCTTTTCCAAGCACCCAGCTTTGTCACGGTGGGTGTCCTTGCCTGACTTTGTGTGATGTGGGATCCTGGAAAGATGCAGCCCCCAAGCTTACTTACCCCAAATCTACAACATCAGAGTTGGGGTGGGGACCAAAGACATTCCTGTAACAGGTCTTCCAGGTGATTCTATACATAGTAAAAACTGAGAAAGGCTGGGGCAGAAAGAGAGGCGAGCTAGGGGTATGGTTCCATCCTACCGCGTTTTCCTAATGGTAGTGGTATGTGTTGGGCTAGGACTGAAAAGGCCGGCTGTTTGAATCCCCCAGCTGCTCCACGGAAACAGATGAGGCAGTCTACTGCTCCACAGGAGAAGGATGGGCAATCTCCTCCCGCAGAGTTTATAGCCTTTGAAAACCCGCAGGAGCATCAGCTAGCAGTCTGTTCCAACACAAAGGCCAAATAACAACTGGTATTGGGATTTACAGCCTCAGAAACCGACGGAGGGTCACCAGGAGTCAGAACCAACTCAACCCAAGTGAGCTGGATTTCAAACTTAATATTAAATTGGCTCTGTTTCCTGGAGTGCAGCCTGTTGTGGCTGTTGTGTACTGCTGACTCCGAACCAACCCATAGCTGACCCTTCAGCAAGTTTTCAGAGGCAGTAAATAGCACAGAAGGACACTTGTCCATCCTCTTCCTCCTGCAGAGTAGCCGGTGGATTTGAACCTTATGCCTTTGGGATTGCAGAGCAGTTTCTTACCACTAGGCCACATTCCTCCCACAGGGCAGCTGGTGGATTTAACTGTGTGCCTGCAGGACGGCAGAGTAGCTCTTTATCGCTCTTTGTGTACTGTCGACTTGGAACCGACTCACAGCTAACCTTCCAGTGGGTTTTCAGAGACAGTAAATAGCATAGAAGGAAGACTGTCCATCCTTCTCCTGCAGAGCGCTGGCAGATTCGAACCACATGCTTTTGGGATTGCAGTTCAGTTTCTTACCACTAGGTCACATTCCATGAAATAGGACGTTATATGATCTGGACATTGCGTGAATGTCATATTTACCTTATGGGAGTCTGCTTCCAGTCATCCTCTGCTGCCCTCCTGTGATGCTGATGGAGACTGGAGGACTGGGCATTAATAGGACAGTGGCTGTGGGAGCCCAGCTGGAGGAGCAAGCAGGGAGGGCGCAGAGCCCACCCAGCCCCACTCCCAGTCCTGCCCACTCACCCAGGACTAAGCCTGAGGGTCTGCTCCACAGCCCAGCGCTCACCTCACCTGCCTGCATCCCACCCTTGCTTCACTCCTGTGAGATTCTAGACCTGGAGTCTTTAAAGCCACTAGGAGGAATAATAAAAATAATTGTTTTCCCTTAAAAACAGAGGTATACACAGTCAGATGTTCAAAAGGGTGTTTGCTTGGGATGAATACCTGTGGATGCAGACCGTGGTAGGGGAACCTAATGATCCTTACACTCTCTCAGGGGTCCCACCAGTGCATCCAGACTAGGTACCTGTGCAAAATAACAAGCATCTTACTCCTGCAGAAACAGACTGGGGGATTCGGCCCCATTTTGTACAGAAAGACTGAGGGATCAGAGGACTGCAGTTTCCCAAGACAAACACAAGCCAAATTCGAGTCCCTTCCTGGACGCCTGTCCAATGGCATCCAGATGATCCAAGAGTCCCTCCAAGGGGGCGTCGGGACAACTGGGCACCTGGCACCTCAGACCAGAGATCGGGAACTGAAGGGTGTGGCTGGTCTCTCTCACTCTGTGATGAAGACATTGTGGCCCATTGCCCCTGACACAACTAACACAGACAGAACTCCATCTGCAGGACATGGGCTCATTCCTCTTTCAAACTTAACGCTGCTGTTACTTGTCAGAGAAGACTGTAGACAGGGGTTTGCAGCCAGTAGTCAAAGCACCAGCTCTGTAGTTAACCCATCCAAGCTACTGACCCCAAACTTCTTAGTAGCAGGGTGATGTGCAACTCAATTTACCTCTCTAAATGCCAATTCCCTCATCTGTGGCTAAGGAGCCCTGGCAACACAAAAGTTAAGCAGCTGACTGCTAACCCAAAGGCTGTTGGTTCAAGACCCAGTGACTCTGCAAGAGAAACCCCCAGCGACTGGCTCCTACAAAGATTACCGTGTAGAAAACCCTATAACAGGTCAGTTCCACTCTGCCACGTGGAGCAGGGTCACTGTGAGTTTAAATGGCACCATGGTGTCTGGTAATGGGTCAGAGTGGACCCCACCTGGATGAATGCCAATAAGACAGTGTCCTCCTGACTACTTTGCTCGGTGCTGGCCACACAGCATGCACTCCCCTAGTTATGGCAGTCATCAGTAAGGGGTCCCCCACAACAAGCATGCATCCCATGACGTCCATTTGGACAGTCTGACCACAGATACAGGGGGTTTTTTTGGTTGCTAAGCAAAGTCAGTGGTTTCAACGATGAGCTGCCTGATGGCAGAAACATGGGCAGTCTCTTCCCACAAAGATTTACAGCCTCAGAAATCCAACAGGAGCCAAAGGGAGCAGGGCTCGAATAGACCACAGTAGTTCTGGGAAAACCAGCTGAGGTTTAATTCAAAAGCTCAAAAAGGAAGGGGGCAGCCTATCCTCAAGCATCTGCCTCAGACGACCAGCACACAGTCCCTGGGGAGAAGTCTGTTAGGTGTCATTGAATTGGAGACCCCATAACAACCCCATGTATAAGAGGAGGAGGCCTGATCGCACGGCATCCTCAGAGCTGCATCCTCAAGCCCACTGCTGCAGTTACTGCTGTCAAAGCAGCCCTGGAGGGGCCTCTCTTTTGCTGACCATCTGCTTTTCCCAGCATGACGTCCTTCTCCAGGGACTGCCTTCCTGGCAACACGCCCACAAGATGTGGGATAAGTCTCAGAGTCCTCCCCTTTCAGGAGCACCCTGGGCCCACTTCTTCCAAAGCACCTTTCTCTGTTCTTAACACTGACTTTAGGGTCCACAGTGCCCTGAAGTCCCTAGACCAGGGGTGAGGGGACTGAGAAGTCTCTCCTCCTGAGCCATGCACAAGGCCAATTGAGATGGGGCAGGGTCTCACAACTGCAGCGAACTGGTCACTCCTTGTTTTGCTGCACGCCCTAAAAACCTGTTTCCCTAGCCTACCTCGAACTTCTAACAATGGCTCCCTAAGAGCTTCTCCACCGATCACGGTCGGTCATCTTTAATAGCAGTGGGAAGGAAAGAGTTCTAATGACTAGCATGCAGCCTGCCTCTTCAAAAGGTGACAGAGTCACTCAACTTGGGACTTAAGCGCAATAGCTCCACGACCCTGGGCCCTGAATACACTCCCAGACTTTCAAGACCTCCCACTCCCCATTCCCTGTCTGCCCTGCACCAAATGCTGTGTGGAAGAAGCTAATTCCTTCCTTGACCTCAGCGCGTGCTCCAGTCCCCTCTCTGCTCTCCAGAGAAGAGTTGCGAGTGAATGATTTTATGGCCGGTACATGAGACCAAAAACAGCCATACTACATGTTCGCACAATACAACCAAACTTACAGCTGGAGCACAGAAAAGCCCCAGACAGTTCTCTCTAGCAGCCCAGGCGCGGACAGGAAGAAGAGGGAATGTGCACCGGAGCCCTGTGACGCCCGCGCAGAGCTGTCCCTCCCGCGCCCGCCGGCTCCTGGCCCCGCGTAGGGCTCCGGCCTTCCCGGTTCTCAGGCGGCCCCCGAGAGCCCCGTGGGCGCCGGCGCACGTCCTTACCATTCAGCTGCCGGTACACGATGTCCTCGAGCAGTGACAGGCGCTTCAGCACCGCATCCTGGATCGGGCTGGCGCCGTGTGCGCTGAGGTTGCCCACCTCCGCGCGCGGCCGAATCTCGTGGAAGGCGTCTCCACTGCGCACCGCGATGGGCCGGCACTTGGCCAGGAAGAGCACGAAGCCGGCCACTGCGATCAAGTTCAAAACCAGCAGCACTTTGACTCTTCTCAGTGAAGCCATCAAACACGCCCGGCCGGCCCTCTTCCCGGACCCGTGCGCCTCGGGCTCCTGCGTGGCGCGGGGCAGCCGGTGGTGGCCGTGCGAGCCACACGCTCTGACCGGGCGGCGAGGACAGCGGCTCTCCCGGGCTCGGGCGGCCGAGATGGCTGGGAGGATGAGGCAGTCGGGGGAGGGCAGAGTCGCTAGCTGCCCTCAGTCTGCAGAAGCGCTCTGGAGATGTCTGCACTGTCCCCCTCCAGGCGCTGGGGTTCCTCCCTGGCCCAGAAGCGGCTCTCCTCTGGACCACCGAGCTAGGCTGAGGGCGGCTGGCTGCCGGGAAGCCGCGGCGCGCGCGGCGCGCAGGTGTCGGGTTAGGACTCACCGCCCGCCCGCGGGGACCGCGCCGCGCCTCGGGCCGCACAGCCCGCACCGCACCGTGGCCCGCAGCCCGTGTTCTTCAGCCGAAGACCCGCTCCCTTGGGCGAGCGCCTTTGTTCCGCTCACCGACCCGCTCCATCACGCCGGGCCGAGGGAAAGCCCGCGCTCAGTGCCCGCATCCTCGCTTCTCCGCAGTCACGCTCAAGTCACAATTACTCTCCAAAGTGGGGGCAGCAGCAGGGGGCGGGCGGAGTGGGAGAGCGCGACGTCCTCTCCGCCCCTCGAGCCAGGGGACACCCCACCCCGCTGCCAAACTCACCAGCGCGCTCAGCCCGCGAGCTCCGGACACGTTCCAAGTCTCGGCCCCACGCAGCGAGTCCGCGGGGCCTGCCGGTCGCACTGACTCGGCCCGGAGCTGGCGCGTCCGGAGGCCGGCCGCAAGGAGGAGGACCTCAAAAGTCACAGCAGTTCTCGGTCCCCCTCACCAGCGTCTCGGGGAGAGCGGCAGGGAAGGACGCGCGCCGGCGCACCCTCCGCTCGCCGGAACGGGCAGCGCGGCTCATCGCGCGCACCCAGGAGCCAGACGCCCAGTCTCTGAAGAGGCGAACGCAGTGACTCCGCCGCTGCGGCACCGAAAGCCCGCACGGCCCTGGGGCTCGGAGCCCGGAGGGGACGCGCAGGTGGCGGCGGAGGGCGGGGCGCGGCCCGAGGGGACCGGCTGCAGCGCCGGCTCCTCCCCCGCCGCCCGTGGCCACCCCTCTCCCCGCGCCGCCGCCCGCAGGCTGCCGGGCGCACACCTCCCCTGCGCGCGGCTCGTGCGCGCGCACCCGGAAAGGGCGGGGGCGGCTGGCTCATAGGCGCCTTGAGGGCTGGGGACCGGTCAGGGCATGCTGGCTGCGGCCGGCGCAGGAGGGACCTTTAGCATCTCAGCACTCCCCGAGCAGACGGCCGGGTCTGTTCCATCCCGGTTGGCAATGAAGACATCCCTTTCCGTGAGCTCCCAGCTCCGCTTTGCGTGGCCGCGAATGGCTAGAGGGAAAATCTGGCCTGGAGACTCGGATTCTGTGACTTTCGGAGCAATTCTGAGCGGCCAACGGGCTGGGTGGGTTCTATGCGGGTGAAAAACCTGTGGGTCCAAGTCATTGCAATTGCGTTCGCCCACCCTCTCTACGCACGTGGTTACAGGAGGATGGTGTAGGTGGCTGGGTTTCCAGGACCCCTTTCCATTCCCCAAACTCCACAGCTCAAAATACAGGAATTCAAGCTCCCGTCTTGATCCTTTCAGTTCCTCAGGCCTAAAAAAACGAAACCAGGCTGCCCACTAATAAAAATCAGGCAACCTAGCCAAATGACAGCCTCCACCTGGCCATTTCCATCTCATTAAAGTTTTTCTCTTCCCTTTCGTTGTTCTTGCGCGCGCGCGGCGCGCTCGTGCTGTTTGCTTGCTTGTTTTAAGTATGAATCTTTAGTACGGAAACGTACGTCAAAATACAGGCACTGTGAAATACTCCGCAGCACAAAAGGAAAACAGTGCGTTTACATCGAGATGAGATTTACATACAGAAAGGAACATTCGTGGTATATTAAGGGCAGAAGGACCCAAAACTCTCCAACTCTTTACTGTGCAGTCAATCCCCTCAGCTGAGTCTCCAGTAGGTTTTCTTTTCAGAGGCTGTAGCTCGCACAGATGCAGATTGTTTGTTTTCCCAAGGAACAGCTTGATAGATTCGAACTGCCTGGCTTTGAGTTGGCAACACAATTCCTTACCAACTAAGCCACCAGCGCCAACCCATAAGCATTAGCCTTACTCCCTGCCCGGATTCAACACAATCTGTGTAATTTCCCAGAAACAGAATGTTATTAGGGGCTGTGGAGTTCACTCACTCACAGCAACACATGGAAAGCAGCCAGAAGAAACCTTGCCCATCCTGCACTATCCTCTGGCCTTGCTGTCTCCACTGTGTCCAAGTCTGCTGTTTCGTTGTTTCTATCGAGTCATCTGCTCGCTGAGGGTCTTCCTCTTTTTCACTGACCCTCTTATTTTCCCACGGAGATGTCCTTTTCTGAGCAGTGATCTTTCTGACAACGTGCCCAAAATATATGAGCCAAAGTCTCACCATCTTTGTCCCTAAGGAGAGGCCGCACTTCCTCTGAAACAGACTCCTTTGCTCTTTGTCAGTCCATGGTATATTCAGTACTCTTTGCCAACACAATTCAAAGGCAATGATTCTTTCCTCTTCCTTATTCACTGTCCGACTTTCACGTGCATGTGAAGTGACTGAAGACACCTTGGCTTGGGTCAGGTGCACCTTAGTCTTTAAAGTGGCACCTTTGCTCTTTAGCACTTCAAAGTAGTCTCTGACAGTGGATTTTCCCAAAGCAGACAAACACACAATTAAACAGAGGAGCATATCAAAAGTCTCGAGGGACTGTTTTAAAGCATATCTTTTGGGCAGAAAGAGGTGCTTGGAAGGAAGAAAACTGTTTTGCTGAGCACCTTCTCATATGCTGAGCCCTGGGCCAGGTGTTCCACCCAGGGTATCTCACTGAATGCCGAACTGAGACAGGTGCCTTACACCGTCATCCAGATGAAGGCTGGTTCTATCAAGGGAAGCAGCTGCAAAAACATGTATTTTTATTTTAAGTTCCCTCAGCTGTAGGAAAACAAGACGTAAGACACTGAGACATTGGGTTTGCGCCTCAAGGCAGTAAGCAGCTCCAAATCCATATGGTTCTAGCTCCCAGGCATAGGACTATGTGGGAGCAGAGGCCGGGAGACAAAGCAGAAGTAAAGCCTTTTGGGTATTCAGGAAGAACTATTATCCAGAAGTGGCTCGCCCTCCATAGCTGGTCTCCGGATGGACACTGAGACTTTGTATCACATGCTTCGTCCACATAATCAGGAGAGTCCAGTCCCTTAGAAATAGACATCGTGCTTGGTAAAGTCGAGGGTCAATGAAAAAGAGGATGGCTCTCAATGACGTGGACTGACCCAGTGGTTGTAAGAGGACCCCGCACAGCAGGGAGGGTGAGCTGCATGTGGGGTCACTATCAGAGCTGACTCAATGGCACCTAACAAAACCATTAACCTATTGTTTTAACAATTAACTGCATGGACCATTGGATACCACCAGTATAGTGGCACAGGAGAAGGGCCTAATGGTCTCCCCCTCAGTATTACAGCCAAAAAAATTCCACAAATTCCCTAACGTGGCATTGCCATGATCAGAATCAATGACAATGAGTTTGAGTTTGGGGTTTGTTTTTTTCCCCTTCATTTAATATTTTTTAATTGTTATTTACACATAGGTTTACAGAATATGTTGGTTTTTCTTCAATCATTCACGTTTTGTTTTATAACATTTAGTACAATATCCATAAGGCAATCACATTTTTCCTATTTCCTCCCTGTAATTCTAATTTCCATTAACCCTCCTATCCTACTAGTTCTTGCCTTCAAGACTTTATCTTGGGTACATGCTCTCTGTCAATCTCCTTACTGGTGGTAGACTTGCTAGTTATTCTAAGGAGTGTGTCTCCCTGGTGTTTCCTATAGACACAATCTTGCTGGAAGCCCAGGCCATATCTATGGCCTGTGTTCAAGTCAGCCCTCTTTTTTTTTTGGGGGGGGGTGTTGCTATCAGGTTTACTGGGGGAGAGGGTGGCAGAAAGTAGCCTAGATAAAATTCTCTGGATACCCTAGGCTTGAGTTTGGTTTTAAGCATCCAGAGTCCTAGGGGAGTGATATAAACTGTTCATGGACCCGGCTGCAACCAGCAAGTTGAAGGTTCAAGTCCACCGACAGGTTCCTTGAAAGAGAAGCCTGGAAATCTACTTCCCCAAAACCTAGCATTGAAAACTATAGAACACAGTTTTACCCTGATACCAAAGGAGGTCAGCATGCTTCAGCCTCAGTGACAACAGCCTTTATTTAGGTTTTTAAAAAGTCACTCGTCCAAACTAAGTAACTACTGTCCTCTATTTCAAAGACTCCTGCATCCACAGCTTCCACCATGTCCTGGGACAGGGTCTGTGTTCATAAATGTCCCCGTAACTTCAGTGAGTGACCCTGTCATGGCCAGGCCCTGACCTCTGCCATCACACTGCCCCATTCCACACCTGCAGAATACCTGCATGAGTACCCACCCTCTGCACACCACTCTCCACTCCAACCAGGCATGTTCTAGCCATCGAGGTCTACAGGGGCCTGAGGACCCTCCTTCCCTTAATAATGTGTTGCAAGGGCCACACAGAACTCAAAGATTATGGGGTTTATTCAGGTGGTGACACATAGCTCAGGAGACAGGCTAGTCAGTCAACCAGGACAGCTTCCAACCTCTCAGCTCCTTCTTGGCCATGCCACAGGCAGGCAGGCAGGCCTCACTCTGGGCTCTGACCACTGCTGGCCTCAGCCCTGCTTGGGCAAGTGTTATAACTCTGGAGATCTACAGTAAAGTGCCCAGAAGTGCTCCACTCATCCAGGGTACCTCCTAATGGAGGCATTCAGCTCTTTCATCTCATGAGTTAGCAAGCCCACCACCTCCTTCTGCTAGTCCCACCTCACTGCTGTCTCATGCCTCCACCATCTCTCATCATCTTCAATGGGACAGTTCTCTGTCTGCTGGGTCTAGGAGGTTCTCAGCACAGTGACCCCTGCTCCAGAGGATGTGCTCCACACTACAATATCCTTGTTTTATTTTTATTTTTTTTACTGTCAAATCAGATTTGGCTGGTACAGGAGGAGATTGCTCCTCCTTCTCCAGCAAAGCTTCTGGTGGATTTGAACCCTACAGTCTCTTTCTTGATGGTATTGCGGGCCCTCTCAAACTCTACAAAATTGGCTATTTTAAACCTGTTGTTATTATTAAGTGTTGTG